AGTATTTTGGGGGGGGGTCTTAAGGTGTCTCCCCCCTCCCCAAAATCGCTGCTGGGGGTGGGGGAGGGGGGGATTCACAGCCTTGGGTGAGACCATTTTGGGAGGGGGGAGTTGGAAGGTGCCAATCGCTGCCTGGGGGGGTTTCAGGGGGTACCTGGGGGGGGTCTCAGGGTCCTGCGGGGGTCTTGGGGCACCTGGGGGGGGGTCTCAGGGCCCTGGGGGGGTCTCAGGGGGTACCTGGGGGGGTCTCAGGGTTCTGGGGGGGGGGGTCCCCAACCCCCCTGGCCGCTCCCATTGCCGGACCCGGGGGGTGCCGGGTTGTGCTCGGGGGGGTCGCGATGGATCCCGGGGGTGGGTGGGAATTGGGGGGGGGGTCTCACACCCCTCTCCCCCCCCCCCCCCCCCCCCCCCCCCGCAGCCCCCCCGGGGTGGTGCCCACCCCCCTGGCCGAGGCCAGCAGGGCCATGGCCGGGGACACCACCCTGAGCGAGAACTACGCCTTCGCTGGGGTGTTCCACGTGTTCGACCAACACCTGGACAGCGCAGGTACGGCCTGGGGGGCACCTGGGACACCCCCAAAACCCCCCAGAGCCAGGGAAAACACCTGGGAACCCCCCAGAAACACCTGGGGCCCCCCAAAACACCCCAGAGCCAGGGAAAACACCTGGGAACCCCCTAGAGATACCTGGGAACCCCCCAGGGACACCTGGGAACCCCCCAGAAACACCTGGGAACCCCCCAGGGACACCTGGGAACCCCCCAGAGACACCTGGGAACCCCCCAGGGACACCTGGGGCCCCCCAAAACACCCCAGAGCCAGGGAAAACACCTGGGAACCCCCTAGAGACACCTGGGAACCCCCCAGAAACACCTGAGACCCCCCAAAACACCCCAGAGCCAGGGAAAACACCTGGGAACCCCCCAGAAACACCTGGGAACCCCCCAGGGACACCTGGGAACCCCCCAGAGACACCTGAGAGCCCCAAAACCCCCCAGACCCTGCCGAGAGCTGAACTGGGGAGGGACCTGGGGGGCACCTGGGTGGTTCCTCTGTCCTGGGGGGTCCCTGAGGGCTCTGGGGGGGTTCCCCTGTTTGGGGGGGGGGTTCCCCCTGGCTGTGTGAGATTTTGGGGAGGGGTCTCACCCCTCTCCCA